TTAACAATCACTTATCAGGGTTAAATGGGCCCCCAACAATATGGAGAAGCATGGCTTGCTGGGGAGAGCGAAATCATAAAAATGGCATTGAACAAACGGTGTGCGATGGGGAGTGACAGGAGATGCAACAGTCCTGACGCGCTGCCTCTCTCAACACGCGCACCGCCGCCCAGAACAGGCAAATGGGAAATCCATCACCGGTGGAGCGAGAAATAAATCCAATATGCACAGGCAAGCGCAGGGGCCTCCCATCAGGGCGAATGTGCTGTGGATGTGCTGATGGCGCATGCCCCGCAGCTGAGGCCGGGTGGCCCGACGCGCTCCTCGCCATTTAATTGTAGCTGCTGGGGGAGCCGGGGACGAGTCAAGGTGACCTGCTGGATGAGGACCTCCCTCTTTTCTCAGAGTTAAATGAGCACTCAAAAACAGCTCTGGAGGCCCCCCCCCCCCACACACACACACTACTTTTTTCTTACTTTCATACGTCCGCCTATCACTTCGCCTCAGACCTTGATAAGTGTTCAGCCACCTGCGGAGCGCATGGGGGCCCGGCGGCAGCGGAGGAGCAGATGTTGGGTGGCTGGCACTTGGCAGAGAGCTCCCAAATGCTAATTGCGGCGCTAAACTGTTAGCTAAATATGTGTCTCTGCGTCACATTAGGCGTTTAGGATGTAGATTTATGGCCAGAAGGAACTCTTCTTTAAAACTAATGGATGCAAACTAATGGATGTGGATGATGCAGTGCTATTTCATTATTAGTTTATCTGCTGGTTTATCATCACTCTTTGGCTATTTGGCATACTGAATCATTTTTTAAGTCTGAAACATTATTAATCGCTGTGTGCTGTACGCTGCACTTACCCAGTAAAACTTTGATGCCACTTGACTTTTTAAACCCCCCCCCCCCCCCCCCATTCTCTCCATTGCCATTCTTTCCTCGACATTGTTCTCTGCTGCCGTGGTTACTAACTTTCCCCATGGGCACCATTTGCATTTAATCAAGTGTAAATATTAATGTCTGTCTATTAGTCAGCGGGGATGTGTGCTCAGGACTTGCGCTGTCGTCCTGTTGGTGTTAGAAGTTGCGCCGGCGCTCAACACCTCGAGGGGATCTGGCACCCGTCCACACGAGACTATCTTTGAGGACACAGAGCTCATTATCAGTAAAGGCAGAGATGCTTTACTGGCAATGGTGGCCTGTGTTTTGCAGAGCTGGAGGACGGTGACAAAGTATCAAGGGGGAAGGGAAGGGGGGCCACCGCGCCTTGGGGGCCCCAAGTTACAATCAAAGCTGACAGAGCATCGTCGATGAGCTGCCTGCATCCTAATAAACACAGGAGCTCCTTTTTGCTGAAAAAAAAGAGGGCGGTCTCGCACATAAGTGCACGGATAAGCGCGGCAGCTGTTTTGTACTGAGCGGAGGTATCAGGCGGGAAACAGACGCACCGCTCAGAGGAAGAGGAAGAAGAGGAAGATATGAGGGGAGATGAAAGGAGGAGCTGGGAAAGGATGGGAACACGGCCACCGCCTCAGGGTAGCTCCGATCTCCACTACTGGAGAGTGACCAAAGCACAGGCATGAATACACACGCACGCCTTTACTCAAACTGTGCCAGTTCGGCAGCTCTAATCAGTGCTGACAAGCCTTTCATCCTCCTACTGTTGGAACACACACACACACACACACACACACACACACACACACACACACAGTAGAGACAGCAAGTAAATCAGATTACTTGATATCACTGTTGCTGAACACATTCTGGACCAGGCATCGGTTCGCTGGCACCGCGACGCGTTTGCACCCACGTTAGTGCAATATTTTGGCTCGCAGTCATTAGTAAATCCACCCTGTTTGCACAAGAGTGGCCGTCTACTCTGCGGTTTACACAGTTGTCATGATTTCAGCTGCTTTTCCAATTTGGATTTGGCAGGAAATTATCTCTTGTATTAGTCACCCGCATAACCCGCTAATTCTCCCTCTCATTTTAGTCGCAAAAATACACGAGCGCACATCCACAAGCACTCTGGGAAACATGTATAAACACTGACACACACACACACACACAGCAACCGCTCTCAGCTGCTGTGCAGAGATAGACTGTTAGCCTCATAGCTCTGCAGAGGGCCGGGATTGAAAATGCTGTAATTATGCTCTTCATGAAATTAGCCAGCTGGGGAAAAAAAAAACACAATTGAGAAGCTGTCCATTCCGGAGATAAGGATTAACACTAATCAAGCCTGCATGTTCTGACTGGAAACTATAAGAGTTTGTGTACAGTGTGTGTGGATGAGTGGGAGTCGGATGGGGGATTTTTAATTAAAGGCACGCTTTCTCAACAGGGGCTTAAAGGGGGAAGGTGGGGGGGATGATTTACTCGACCTCGCGGTTGCCACCCCGCGACTCCTCACTCTTAATTAAAGGCCTCCTCTCACGGAGTTAATGACATTCTGCTGTCTTCTAAGAATGACAACACCAACCCTCTGTGCGAGCAGGCGAGAGCGGTGTCAGAGTGAAGGGTGGAGGACTGAAGCTGTCCATCAGGGTCTCACGTCAAGGCAGCAATAGGTGGGGTCTGCGGGCTTTAAATTTGGGACCCCCTGGAAACAGCTTACGAGGGCCTGAAAACTGTAAAAGTGTTCAATTCATTGCAAGTTGACGGGCCCCTGTCAGGCTCTGGATGCCTTACAATCACTCTGGGTTTTCTTTTCCCCAATTTGGTGCCCCTGGCTCCTTTTGTTTTTGTCCGTTTCCTTTCCATGGACAGTTTGACAATTTGTTCAACAAGCTAAATAGTTTTCTGTCCTTGCAGTAAAAGCATGAACAATCATGTCTTCTATGTAGAAACTCTAATCAAGTGTGACAAATGTAACTCAGAACATGGACATATCCTGTAAACTATCATCTGTTTTAGTAAGTATTCAAATTCAGTTTGTTCTTAATGGGGTACTCCATTGGTTCAGTGTTGCACTTAGGATACATCAACAAAATAATTGTCATAATATGAATATAACATATAAATATAAATAAATAAAAATGCAAATTTTGTCTTTGTAACCTTTGTTTTGATAAGTGCTGTATAAATAATGTTTATTATTATTATTACTATTATTAGACAGTGTGGAATAAAAACAAAATGCTCTGTTATCTCTTGTTAAATGAGGAATCATAAATGTAAAAAAAGAAGTATTTTCTATATAAAACTCTGTTTCCTTCCTCTTGATCTATCTCTTTATCTATCTGTATGTATTGA